TGCCTGGAGAGAGAAAGTTGGTTAGTTACTGAGCAAGTGAGTGCTCAGTCTCAGCAGACCGCTTGAGGGTCAGGGTCAGTTTAGAGTACCCTCAACAAAAATCAATTTCACGATTTTCCCATCCCTGCCCTGACACAACAATTGCATGCAATAATTGCAAATCCTGCTTTAATAACTGACAGGATGCAGTCTTGGACTAATTAGTGTTGATTAGTAATTAGACAGAGTGACTAATTAGGGTTTGACAGGTGTCCACTGATGACCAAGATGCAACGATTTACAGGTTACCCTATTTTTAGACCTACCCTACAGACTTCACCACTGTATGACCCTGTATGCCATACCCTAGGTATGGCGAATCACAGTTTTCACTGTAACTGACTCAGAACATCAAATCTGGATGTGCGATTTCGGACACAGTCTGAGTACTGAATTGCGATTTACCACGGACTGACAAAATTGAATTCTGACGGACAGAATCAAAGTTATGACTGGCACTAGTCTAGCCAAGCTTTAGCTACGTCAGCGTAGAATTCCAATTTGCATTATCACTGAAAACAGGACCCTGAACTCACCAATTCACTACACAGTATAAATCGCAATATTGTAAAGCAGTTGCAGACGAAATATGAGTCAGAAAGAAGGTCAAACAGGGTTAGTAGAAGTCAAAGAAGATAGGTAGGGGAAGTTGGATATGGCTGTCCCACAGTCTGAATTTCAATTTTCAACTGTCACCTGACAAACAGACCAAATTTCACTATTCTAAAAATAGTCCCAGAATCGCCACATAGGATGGAGTAAGGAACACACTTACTTCAGGGACAACTCTGAAGAAGATGCATGAAACCCTGGCTATGGCTGACTGGTCAACCCCATCTCGCCAGTTTCATCTCCTGACAGTATCCAGTGTTCCCACGTACCAAATTGCCTGAAACTTGGTGATCCAGTAGATTACTCTGAGGCGCTTCACCCCCAACTGACAGATTCAAAGAATTCAGACTCCCAGGTGCCAATAACTGACAAAGTCAGTGCAGCGCAACATCACCCTGTACTGCGCTGCTTGGAAATTGGGGATCCTGACCCAATTCCACAATCGCAACCTCCTGGGATCACTTCCCTGCCAATCGCCAGCCTCCAGGTGAATCACCAGGCTAAAATTAGCCTCTCATAGCCTCTCAGGCCTTTGAGCACCAGTCGCCAACCACTCCTGCACAAGCCTAGTCAGGAGTGAGTCACCCTCTGTCCAATTCTTCTCGCCACACACTCACAGCCACCACCCTTACTGACAACAACCCTGAAGATGATGAATCGCCGTGAGACTCAACTCCAGTATCTCACCAGAAGATGATGGGTGCTCCAACTCATCAATCGCTCCAGAGTCTGGATCCAATCGCTCCGATACCAACTGTTATGATTCTGGTTGTTTGTTGTCTGAAGACCAACACGCACTCACATAGACTTCCAAGTATGCCCATACATACACAAAAGGAAGGGGAGAGGATAGGAGTATCACACCGCACAGGGAGAGATGTACACAGTGGAAGACTTGACCATGCGATATGACAGGGTACACTGAAAGTGCAGTTCACTCCACTCAATCCTCACAACCAGTCATAAAGAAAAGCCGAGCAGATCACATCCAGGAAACAATGAAACGATGATAGTCCAAACCCAGTTACACACTATTTATTAAACTCAGAGTCTCAAATTGTCAGGATGACTTCAGAACTACAGTGCGCTGCCCAGAAATGAGCAGCGCTTCACTCCCCAACCCTGATCAGCACCCGTAACACCCCTGAGCCCCTGAAACATCAAGCGCCACCCAGATACAGCCTCCACAGGGAAGCGCCACCCTGAAACAGGCATCTGAGGCCAAGTGCCACTCAAAGGATGAAGAAGAAGACCAGCGCCACAGTATCTGATGATGACGAAGTGTCGGAAGACTTCCTAGGTGGAAGTCTGCAGCAGCACCACCAAACCCTGACAAGATGACCTCTGAGGACAAAGTTGCAGCTATGGCTGCAGCGCCACCACCCTAGAACCCCACTCCGGAGGAGGGTCCAGCAGGGCACCAAACTCTCTCGCCTCCAGCAGACCTCGATAGCCCAGACCTCTGTCAGCCCCTGTGTGCTGGCAGAGTACAGCGCAGGTCCCAGCTATGGCCGACGCTCCGAAGGTCTGGCTATGCCTGTCTCCTTCCACGCTGAGCCGTCACCACTTCCGGTTCACGCGTAGCGCAGCAGCGATGTACTCGGTACCAACTGACAAAAGCCCTGAACCGATGTGCCCAAGACTAACCTAGCCTGGACTCAACCTAGACCGGACTGACTGACCGACCGGTACCGTTTCTGTTTCGGCCTTTCGGCCTCTACCGGACCCGGCTATAGGCTATAGGACCGTCTATCAGAATAGGCCCTTAGGGCCTGTCTGTCCTAGGGGTCGCCCGGGCCTGCTATTCGCAGTTAGGGTAGCGGTAGGGAATTCTGTTAGTACCGGGCCTGCATTTTTCCCGAATTTGCAGATATGTCGCTCACGAATTTCCCTCACAGGTAGGTCTCTCGGTGAGCCCTCAGCCAAACAAAATTACGAATCTATCCTACCTATAGTACAGCCTCGACAGAGAGAGGTTACAGGCAACCAGAAAACAACAAGTCATTGCATACTGCAGACGTGGCACTTACCAAACCGGGAAAGCAGACAAAGGGCGGGATGGGAGGCAAACGCAGGTAGGCAAGCAAGCTGCACTTTCCATTCCCGGTGAAACGGTATTCACCAGTTCGCAGTAGCTGATGCAGATCCCAGGGCTCGATCCCTAGTCCCCACCTTACCTGTGTACAGTATCTGTGTCGACCCCTAGAATTGAACCTGTGACCTGTGTATATGTAACAGTTGGTAGGTTGTCGCAGGATCCATAGGTAGCAGGGGTTCGATCTGTAGACCTGTCGAGTAGGAGTCCCAGTCAGGTCTAGACGTCGTAGCTGTATCTTTCTCGAAGAGTCAAGGTCGTAGCTGCTACAGTCCAGAAAGGTCAAGGTCGTAGCTGCTACAATACCGAAAGACCAAGTCTACGGCCTTCCGGAAGGTCCGAGTAGTGGCCTTTCGGTGTGTCCCACGTTTAGGCTGTGGCAAGTGGGCAAGTGGTGAGGCAAGTGGTGGAGTCTACCCGTGCTGAGTCAGCAGTCCCAGTCCTAGGCAGTCCTGGTTCAGTCAAGCAAGTACCGCATGGGACTGTGTGCACTTCGGGCATGGGGAAGGGCCAGGCCAACGAGCTGCAGAAGTATAAATCAAGAGGCAGCGCCCAGTCATTCATTGATTCCTGCGTGAGCCATGCGGAAGCGCTGCCACAATCGACTTATGCAAGGAGGTCTGCAGTGAGCCCGAAGACGAAGTGGGCGAGAGAGACAGAGTGTAGCCATAGCGATAGGGTAGTAGCGGCCATAGCCACCATAGCTGTAGTTGGAGTTCAGTGTGTGTGTGTGTGAGTGTTCAGAGATTCGCGTGTGGGATATCCAGGGTGATCCGGTGTATGCGAACAGAGAGTTGTGTAGGCGCTGTGTCGCCATAACCGTCTGAAGTGAACTTGTATCTGAGTTGAGTTTGGTTGCCATTTCTCTGAGTTTTGAGTGGGCGCTTGTCGCCAATTTGCTGCGCACCTGTTTGCATGCATGAGAGTGTGAATGAAAGCTAGTCTGATTGCATTGGTATCGGAGCTGGTACCCGCTATTCCACACGCAGCGTTGTGTGTTGCAGGGAGAGTGATGCGCCATAGCTGAGGTGGCCGCCGAGAGAAGTCCGCCATAGCGGACCTGGAGGTTGAAGAAGCCGCCGCGCACACCTGCAGAGAAGACCACGACGAAGAAGAAGACAGAGAGAGAGGGAGAGAGAGAGACAGAGGAGAGAGAAAGGTTGAGTGATACAAGATTGGCTTACCACGTACCTACGTTGAAGACATCGCTATGGCGAGAGAGAGAGAGAGAGAGAGAGAGAGAGAGAGAGAGAGAGAGAGAGAGAGAGAGAGAGAGAGAGAGAGAGAGAGAGANAGAGAGAGAGAGAGAGAGAGAGAGAGAGAGAGAGAGAGAGAGAGAGAGAGAGAGAGAGAGAGAGATGAGCGATACAAGTTTGGTTGTCACTTACCTGTGAAGTGTGCGTGCAGTCCCATGAAGTGAGAGGCGGCCATAGCCGCGGAGCTCGACCATAGAGAAGCGAAGGAGGGTGAAAGAGAGGACGGAGGAGGAGACGAGGAAGGTGAAAGAAGCCATAGCCGAGGAGGGGAAGGGAGAGACGATCAAAAAAAAAAAAAACAGAGAAAGAAGACAACAGGGGTGAAGAGAAAGGAGGCGAGGTAGGGAGAAGGAAGGAGAAGGGTGGTGACGAAGGTGAAGCCGGCCGCCATAGCCGGAGTTGACCGGAGGTGTTGACCGGGGTTGACTGGGCGTTGACCAGAGTTGACCGGGGGTTGACCGGGGGTTGACTGCAACGTTGACCAAGGCGTTGACCAAGACCGTTGACCACGAAGTTTGACCAAGCTGGAGCCGGTATAAAATCGCCAAGCCTTCAGCCTATCCCCTCGCCTTATGGATGTGCACACACCCTGTGGTACTTGTTGAGTCAAGTCTGTATGTTTCTTCTTTCTCCATCGAGTCTCTTTTGTCCAGGTGTAGGAACTCCGTGGATGAAGGATAGGGCCTTGTTGACCAAACCCACACAGGCTGAGTAGGGCTAAAGACTGTGTCTGACGACTCGACTGTCCCGAAGGACACGAACCCTCCCAAGGACCGGTACTGACCGGCGGGCTGCTCGGTGTGGCACGGTAGGCCCAAAATCCGAGCTGTGGGCTGCACAACAGGCCGTCTACGTCTTGAGAAGACCTGCTGATTGCGTCGTCCTCTCTGCGATGTTAAAGAATTTCTGAGGAGTTACGGGGGATCTCCTTAAATGCCTCCTGATCAGCAACAGGTCTTGTAGTGACAGCCTTAGAGTAGGTCTAGGCTAGAGACCATAGTTGACAGGATCCTGTCCGGATTCTGTAAGTCCATAGATTGAGTCAGTAGGTTTGTCAGTCAGGGGGAGTAGAGTCTAAGTGGTAAGGAGTGGAACCGATTGTCTGGTTGTGCACCAATCACTATGGTTGACACCCGTAGTGGGAAGAGTACTGCCCCCTCCGAGGCCGAGCAGGCCCGGATTGCCGCCCTGTTGAGAGAGAAGAAAGAGAAGAAGGAGCTCCTGAAACAGGTGAAGCTAAAGGCTATCGCGGAGGAGCAGGCGGCGAAGAAGAAAAGATTGAAGGAGGAGATGTTGCGATTTCAGAAGGAGAAGATGATGCTGTTAGAGCGAGAGGAAGAAGAGAGCAAAAAGGCTGCAGAAGAAGAAGCAGCAACAGAGGAGGAGGAAGAAGAAGAAGAGCCCCTTGAAAGAAGGCGTGGAGAAGAGAGAGGGGAGACAAGTGGCACAAAGGGAGAGGACGCGTGGATGGAGAAGAAGATAACTGAATGGGTGGCTAATTTATCGTTAGGGGAGGATGTGGAGGCACAATTATATGTGCCGCAAGAGGAGAAAAAAACGTTTGCCAGGGAATTGGAAACGATAGAAGATCCCCTGGAACGCCAAATGACAGAGGACGAGAAAAAGTTGGAGTGGAAACTAAGAATGATGAGGGAGAAGAAGAGGAGGAGAGAGGAGGTCAACAGGGTGGCGAAAGAAGTGGAGAAGGTTCAAGCCTGTAGAGAAGAGGTGAGGACACAAGCGGAGGTCCCCGCCAAACTAGATAAGATCCAGGGGTACCTAGAAATTTTGAGCAAGGCCTGGGTAGAAGAACATCAGGCCGTCAAGGGTCAAGATGTGACCCTGCACGCCATCCGATCTGGGTTTAGAGAGTTCGCGCGCGACGTGGTGACCCACGTCGGGACTGAAGTAAAAAAACTAAAGGAAGGCGCAAAAAAGTTCTGCGCTGGCGCCATTGAGGGCGCCAAAGTTCTGGCTGTGGCCGAAGCCGAAGCATGTCCCCACAAAGAGCCAGTAAAGCTCAAATTTCCTGACGCATATGGCGGGAAGGAGGAAAATTTTGATAATTGGGAGGCTAGTGTAAACAGTTATGTGTACTTACAACACATCTTGTCTGAGGAACAAGTCCTCGCAGCCTTCCAGGCCTTGAAAGATGAAGCAGCCAGTTTTGCCAGGCCCCTTGCGCGCGCAGCCGGTTGTGAAAACAACATGGTTGCATACTCTAAGACCACCTCACTTCCCCAGTTCCTCAAACTCTTGAGGGAGCGATTTGATGATCCCACGAGAGGCGTTAGAGCCTCTGATAAGCTACAAACCATCCACTCGCGACAGTGGAGGAGTGCAAAAGCACTCAAAGGTGTCATGGACGACTTGGTAGCCGTCCCGGACCATGGGGTCACAGAGACCCAGTTGGTCCAATTATTCTATCGTGCCATGTCAGAGCCCTTGAGAGGGCACTTCTTCGACAAGACCCAGCAGCCCAACATCACGTACGATGAGTTGAGTAGGGAAGTGGTCTTGTTTGAGGCCAAGTCCATGCCAGTTTCCACTTTCTGGCACAAGGACTTAGACAAGGGCAAAAAGTGGAAAGGCCGTACCATCTCAGGCCAGGTCAGGGCCAAGGATCATTTGATCCTCACTTTAGATGAAGGTGGTACTGACGAGGTCCCATACAGTCAGATTGAGTGGGGCCTCGAGGAGGAGGATAGTAGCGTAGGTTAGGGGAGGTCCTATGTAGCTGTCGCGGCTGGAGGGAGGCCGCAAGGTAGAGGAGGAGGCCAGGGCCAAAGGGGCCAGGCCATGGGAGGCCGAGGATCGGGCGCTCAGGGGGTTGGCGGTCAAGGGAACCGTCAAGCGGGAGGTAGGGGTCAAGGTCCCCCGCCAAATCGCCAAGGTCCCAGTCGGTCCCCACAACGACGAGGTGGCAGGTCACCTCAAAGGTCAGGAGGTTGGCACTTGGGTTGGCCACAAGGTCGGCCTTGGGAAGATATGGGCCTGGACCAGAAAATTTGGCAGCAGCGAATGGAGCAGGGGCAGTGCATTTACTGTGGTGACCCTGCCCATATCATAAAATATTGTCCTAAGTATAGACAGGCCCGTTGGGCTGCCCAAGAGTCAAAAGGCAGTCGCCGGTAGGGGTCGCAACTGCCCCTACTACTAGGCCATTTGGGGAAGCGAGCGCGCACGTACAGGAAACTCCCACACCACATGTGCCTTCGGTAGAGGTTGCAGGCCCGTGCCTAGTTAGTTGTCCAGAGACTGCTTGTGTCAGTGTCTCTCTAGGCACATCCCTCACAGGCGTGGTAGAAGAGTTAAAGGAGAGGATGCCATCCTGGGCCAAAATAAAGAGAGACAGTAAAGGGCAGCTAGTGTTAGTGGATGTAGAAGTGTTCAGGAGTAGAGTAGAGGCCCTTATAGATTCAGGGGCCACCCGCAGTTCTGTTAGCCGTAAAGCGCTGAAAAAGTTGAGGCTAGGATTGAAAGTCCAAAAGTTAGTAGACCCCATAGTTAGTGTCCTCGCAGACAACCGCACTATGCGTGTCGAGGACTACCTAGAGGGAATCCAGGCGTATTTTCGCCTAGAGAAAGATGAAAAGGTAGAGAAAGTTCTCCATTCCCTGACTCTCCTCGTACAGGATGACCTTCCATTTGACATAGTCCTAGGCATGGACTGGGGAGAGGCAGCAGGGGCCACACTCCATTTGAGAGAGCATGAGTGTAGGATCCCTAGTCCGTCAGGCGAGGTTAAGACAACCCGTCTGTTCCATGTGTCCGAAGTAGACAACTCCTTGACACATTGCTGTCTCAGTGCTCCCGCGTTCTCGCGACTAGTGAGAACGGAGCAGTTAGAGGATCAGGTCTTTGTAGTATATGTTAGACCTGTCACTAAGCCTAAGGAAGGGGATAGTTCCACGGATCCAGCCATTGCCAAGCTGCTGGAAGAGTTTAAAGACTTAGTCGAGCCGCCGACAGGAGTAGTGCCGCGACCGATCCAACACAGGATAGCCGCGACCGATCCAACACAGGATAGCCGCGACCAATCCAACACAGGATAGAGATAGAGCCCGACAGTAGAACTCCTAAGGGAGCAGTCTACCGAATGGCCCCTAGAGAGTTGGAGGAGCTGCGCAAGCAGTTGGACGAGCTCCTTGAAAAAGGTTGGATTAGGCCCAGTTTGTCTCCTTTTGGAGCACCAGTTTTGTTTGTCCCCAAAAAGGAAGGAGAGTTGCGCATGTATCGACTATAGGGGTCTGAATGTGATTACAGTTAAAAATGTTGAATCATTACCCAGGATAGACGATCTCTTAGATCCGGTGCAGGGTTGTAAGTATTTCTCAAAGATAGATTTGAAGTTCGGGTATCATCAGATAGAGGTCCATCCTGATGACAAGTACAAGACTGCGTTCCGGACTCGTTATGGGCATTATGAGTTCATAGTGATGCCCTTTGGAATGACCAATGCGCCACCGACATTTCAGCGGTGTAGGAACGATTTGTTTAGGCCATGGTTAGATAGATTCGTCGTAGTATATCTAGACGATATCTTAGTATTCAGTAGGACCCTCCAAGAGCACCAGGGTCATTTGAGGCAGGTCTTGGAGAAGCTGAGGGAGGCTAACTTCAAGATCAACGCGAAGAAGTGTGAGTAGGCCAAGAGACACATGCTGTACTTGGGCCACGTATTGGACGGAGATGGCATTAAGCCAGAGGACAGCAAGATAGCAACAATTAGAGATTGGCCGACGCCCCGCACGTTGACAGAGTTGCGGTCGTTTCTAGGCCTAGCTAATTACTATAGGAAGTTCGTGAGGAACTTCTCCACTATCGTCGCTCCCCTTCACAGGTTGCTCAAGAAAGAGGCAATCTGGCAGTGGGATAAAGACTATACGTCTGCGCTAACGAAGTTGAAGCGTGCATTGATAGAGTACCCTGTCCTCAAGGAAGCAGATCTGTCTTTGCCATTTGTCGTCACCACGGACGCGAGTCAGTATGGAATATGCGCCGTGTTGCAGCAGAACGACGACAATGGTTATATACCCATTGAGTTCATGTCAGCAAGGATGCCTTCAGAAAAAGTTGCTACCTCGACGTATGAGAGAGAACTTTACGCTCTCAGGCAGGCTTTAGAGCACTGGAAGCATTACCTGCTTGGGAGGCACTTCAAAGTGTACTCCGACCACGAGACTCTTAGATGGTTGAAGACATAGGCCAAGATGACACCTAAGTTGACTAGGTGGGCCACTGAGATAGACCAGTATGACTTCGAGCTCAGGCCTGTTACGGGCAAGTACAATGTAGTTGCGGATGCTCTGAGTAGGAGATTAGACTACTTTGGAGTCGTAGTCCACTATCTGGACATAGGGCGTGACCTGCAAGAGAAAGTTAGACAAGCATATGTGCAGGACCCTATCTATAGTGACCTCCTCAAGAAGGTTAAGGAGGCCCCAGAGACTGAGCCAGATTACCGCACTACAGAGGGTTTGTTATTCGAGAACACTAATGTAGTAGACCGCCTATGCGTTCCCAACAGTGAAGAAATCTGCAGTTTGATCCTAGGGGAATGCCATGATACAGAGGGACACTTCGGTTGGCAAAAGACTTTAGCCAATCTTATGCACGCGTACACATGGCCAGGAATGAAAAACGACTGCGTAGAGTATGTCCGCAGTTGTAAAGTCTGTCAGAGGAACAAGACTACTACGCGTGCCCCTCTAGGTCTTCTCAGACCCTTGCCCATTTCAGACCAGCCTGGAGATTCAGTCTCCATTGACTTCATGGATGCCGGCGTCAAGAGTAGGTACGGCAAGAGCGAAGTCATGGTCGTAGTTGATAGATTTAGCAAGTATGCTATTTTCGTTCCTTTGCCTGCAGAGGCACGCACAAAGTTAGTGATACAAAAGTTCTTCGTTTTTTGGGTTAGTGAGCATGGAGTCCCGTTGTCCATAGTTAGCGATAGAGATAGTCGCTTTACCAGCCAGAACTGGCAGGAACTCATGAGAGTTTATGGGTCAAAATTGTTGATATCGTCTGGCCACCATCCAGAGACTAACGGTCAGACTGAGCAGATGAACAAGATCCTGCAGCAAGTTCTGCGCATGTACATTAGACCCGATCAGATTAACTAGGACGAGATGTTACCCAAGGTAGGCAGCGCATACAATAACATCGTACATTTGTCCACCTGTCACACTCCCAACGAGTTGCACAAGTCCTTTAGACCACGTAGACCGTTTGAAGGACTGAACCGGGATCAGATTCACAGGCTACCGCCCAGTACCAGGGAGTTTGCGATACAGCATGAGAAAGAGATAGCCACTGTTGTTGAGAACCTCAGGAAGGCCCAGCACCGGATGATAGAACAGGCTAATAAGCACCGTCGCCCATCGCAGTTTCAGGTAGGCGACCTGGTCTGGGCCAAGTCTAAAGAGTTTGCGCCTGAAGAGAACATCTCGCAAAACTTACTGCCCGCATATAGAGGACCGAGGCCAGTACTAGAAGTCAAGGGCGGAGAGGATGGGCCGTCCTACACTATAGAGATCCCAGCACACCTCCACACCTACCCTGTGTCTCACGCATCAAAGTTACTGCCGTGTGTCACAAGACAGCAGTTTCCCTCTAGATGGACGGAAGATATGACATTGACGGCATTGTAGGTGAAGATGTGTTCAGAACAGGAGGTAGAGGTCGCCCACAGAAACAGTATAAGGTCCAGTTTGCTTATCAGGAACTGGAGGACGACCGCTGGTTCACGAGAGCAGAACTTCTAGAGACAGCTCCCGACATAGTTAGAGCCTATGAGGGAGATCAGAGAGGTAAAGGTCCTGCCTTGGACTGGGTTATTCTCGGAGGACCTCGAATTTAGGCCGGCGGGAGTGAAACGGTATTCAACAGTTCGCAGTAGCTGATGCAGATCCCAGGGCTCGATCGCTAGTCCCCACCTTACCTGTGTACATCTGTGTCGACCCCTAGAATTGAACCTGTGACCTGTGTATATGTAACAGTTGATAGGTTGTCGCAGGATCCGTAGGTAGCAGGGTTTCGATCTGTAGATCTGTCGAGTAGGAGTCCCAGTCAGGTCTAGACGTCGTAGCTGTAGCTTTCTTGAAGAGTCAAGGTCGTATCTGCTACAGTCCAGAAAGCTCAAGGTTGTAGCTGCTACAGTACCGAAAGGCCAAGTCTACGGCCTTCCGGAAGGTCCGAGTAGTGGCCTTTCGGTGTGTCCCACGTTTAGGCTGAGGCAAGTGGGCAAGTGGTGAGGCAAGTGGTGGAGTCTACCCGTGCTGAGTCAGCAGTCCCAGTCCTAGGCAGACCTGGTTCAGTCAAGCAAGTACCGCATGGGACTGTGTGCACTTCGGGCATGGGGAAGGGCCAGACCAACGAGCTGCAGACATATAAATCAAGAGGCAGCGCCCAGTCATTCATTGATTCCTGCGTGAGCCATGCGGAAGCGCTGCCACAAACGACTTGTGCAAGGAGGTCTGCAGTGAGCCCGAAGACGAAGTGGGCAAGAGAGACGGAGTGTAGCCATAGCGATAGGGTAGTAGCGGCCATAGCCGCCATAGCTGTAGTTGGAGTTCAGTGCGTGTGTATGTGAGTGTTCAGAGATTCGCGTGTGGGATATCCAGGGTGATCCGGTGTATGCGAACAGAGAGTTGTGTAGGCGCTGTGTCGCCATAACCGTCTGAAGTGAACTTGTATCTGAGTTGAGTTTGGTTGCCATTTCTCTGAGTTTTGAGTGGGCGCTTGTCGCCAATTTGCTGCGCACCTGTTTGCATGCATGAGAGTGTGAATGAAAAA